GTTAGATCGATGTTATTATCGTTCTTATTGTTGTTAGTGTTACTAGCTGGTTTTCGTGGCCAGCGGTTTTTTCTAATAGCCGTTATAAGAGCTTGCATTTCAGCATCCTTCTGACACGCTTCCTCAATTTCCTGCCTGTTCATAGATTTAGGCACTAGATGGTCGGTTAAAAAATTTACATAATCTTCTGCAATGCTGTTCTTTTCGAGTGTTGACAAAGGTTTACGGGATAGTACATCAGCTGGATTGGTTTTACCGGGTCGGTGTCGTAGTTTAAATTGGTACTGTTGTAACCGGAGAGCCCATCGTTCAATCCGCGCAGATGGCTTCGCTTTGGGATGGTATATAACTTCTAGCGGTTTATGATCCGTATCCAACTCAAATTCAATTCCAATAAGGTACATGTGAAATTTATCACAACCAAAAACAACTCCAAGCGCCTCTTTTTCAGTTTGTGAATATCGCTGTTCAACCTTGCTGAGACTACGGCTTGCATACGCAACAATTCGCTCGTTGTCGTCCCTATCAAACTGTGATAAAATGGCCCCTAATCCGACTGGGCTTGCGTCAACCGTTACTCGAGTTCGTTTAGATGGGTCATAAAAAGCAGGGGTACAATCTTTCGCAATTTCTTCTTTGACTTTGTTGAATGCCTGTTGGTGCCTGCCTGTCCATTTCCAAACAGCGCCTTTGTTGGTTAACTCGCGTAATGGTGCTGTGATTGTTGCCAGGTTATTAATAAACCGTTCGCAATAGGTTGCCAATCCCAAGAAGCTGCGCAACTGGGAAACATCTTCTGGCTCTTTCATGTTAACTAGTGCTGCAATTTTGGTTTTGTCTGCAGAAATGCCATCCTTTGATAATGTGTAACCATAGAACCAAATGCTGTCTACATTAAACTTACACTTAGAAACATTAAGGGTAAGATTGTTTTCTGAGAGTCGTTTCATGAGAGCTTCAAGGTGTGTATCATGTTCTTTCTGGGACTTTCCCCACACAATAATATCATCGGCAATGTTCCTTACTCCCTCCAGTCCTTGGAGTGTTTGTTGAATAGCATATTGGAATTGCTCTGGTGCTGAATTTACTCCGAAACATAAACGTTTATATCGCATAAGACCTTTGTGGGTGTGAAATGTGGTAAGAGATCGTGACTCCTCGTCAAGAAGTAACTGGTGAAACCCAGCTGTCAAATCCACTTTTGAAAACATTGTAGCACCAGCCATGTTCTCAAAAAGTTCCTCAATATTAAGGATAACATGACGTTCTCGCTCTATCATTGGGTTCATATGTCGCATGTCTATACATACTCTGACTTCAGCTGGATTGTTAGGCTTTGGTGCAACAACAAGATTTGATACAAAAGGTGTAGGTGTCCCTGATGGAACGAATTCAATAATATCACTTTCCTCCAGTTCTTTCAGTTTATTTTCTGTCTGTTTACGGAGATGAAAAGGTATCTTTCGGGGTTTTTGCGCAATAGGTTTAGCATTATCTTTAAGGTGTAGGTGTACTTCATGATCCTTTAGTTTCCCAATGCCATTAAAGACTGCTGGGTATTCCTTTTTAAACTTTGACATGATTGGTGAGTCTGGTTGATGGTTCTTAGGAATTTCTGGGTTCTCATTGCCAAACTGTTTATGATCCTCTCGAGGATCAGTGTAGGATGTAGAACTAGACTGGGTAACAACAGCATGCACATTCATTTTCACAATATCAAGCTCTGTGGCTGTGGAATAACTTAGTAATGACCCATCGTCCCCGTTTACAACATGGAATGTTGTAACAGCCATTCTGTGTTTTGACTCAATAAGTCCTTCAAATTTCCCAAGGACTGGCAAAGGTTGAGATTGCATGTAGGCATAAATTTTGTGTGTTGATGGTTGCAAATGTAAACTGGGGTTTTTCTTTTTGATTTCATTAAATGCTTTGGAATCTAAAATGTTTGTTGTTGCCCCAGTGTCAACAATCATTTTAACATGAGCCCTTTCAATAATAACTGGAATGGTTTTAACTGCTCGTGAATTTGGGGAAACCTCATTTTCTACTGGTGGGGTAACAACAAAAACATATGAATCTTCATCAGAGGAATTTGATTGCTTTTCAGTACAATTAATGGCTTGAATGTTCTCCCCTTTTTCTGGAATATTGTTCCTTTGACGACTACGGCACATAGTCGCGAAATGATTTTGTTTTCCACATGAAAAACAAGATTTTCTCTTTACTTTACACACACTAAGATGACCTGCATAATAATTTTCCCCACAATTATAACATATTTTCTTACCATTCGGTTGCTGCTCACGTGAATTTTCTCGGCCCGCATTCTTGAGTGGGTAGGAGTATCGATTTCTTGTAGGATACTGGGTTGCTGATTGATGTGGCTGTCTGTTCGTTCGTTCATGATACTGACTCGACTTGTCTTGTTGGTTATGTATAGCATTAACCGCACTCAAGGAGGGAGCTAAATGCCCACAATCTTCTTCTAATGTTTTGACAGCTTTATCTGTTATTTCAAGAGATCTTGCATATGCTAATATGTTTGCTAATGATAAATCATCCTGAATGGCTTTTCTTCTCACTCGCGATGATAAACATCCTTCAACAAGCTGGATTTTAATCTCATTTTCACTGTTAGAGAATTCACAGATGATGGCTTGTTGTCTAAGCCTGGTACAATATTGATCAATTGTTTCCTCAGTTATTTGTTTTAACTGGCGAAATTTATGGGTTTCAAGTAACACATTTTTCTTAGGTAAAAAATACTCGTTCAGCTTTTCAACCGCTTTCTTGTAATCTTTTTCTTCCCCTACCTCAGACAACGTTGCAAAAAATTTTTCTACTTCGTTTCCCGCTGCATATAGCAATAGAGCACGTTTCCGAGTATCATCTTTTATATCGATAGCAACCAGAAACCGTTCGTAGCGCCGTAACCATTCTTTCCATCGTACAGATAATGTAGTTGGATCCGAATGCGGATCAAAATTTCCCAAACCTGACAAATCCAATGCAGTCGCCATATTGGATTATTCCCAAAATTTTATCGATTTTCGGATTTCAATTTCTGAATTTCAAACGTAATAAAAACACTAATCCAACGTGTATCGTATCCCTTATCAATTACAATGTTTCCAGAGTAAAATGTTGTTGCAATTTTAGTCCTCGTCGCCAATATAATATTCTCGAACTCAACGGTTTTATTCAATCTTAATACAATATACAATTTAAGCTTTCACTCAGTCACGCCATCTTGAATCTCCTCAGTCCCCCGTCTCTAACCCGTACATCACAGAAAGGGATAAAAAATTTTGGAAATGTTATTTATCTCCTTGAAGGGTTTCCGACTCTTTTATTCTGTATAAATGTTTGATTAAATTCCTTGAATAATTCCTATTTTTTTAAATAAAAATGATTAAATTCTTCTATATAGTATATTCCAGTAAAACACATCGAAACGCATTTTCGCCCGGGTCACAGTTGCCACGCACAAGCCAAAGGCACCATGCAACGTTTCATGGTCAGCGGTTTGTTGTCCATAAAATAACATCATCATTTTAATTCATTACATGCAACATTTTTAAATATCCATTATGGATCAGATGCCAGATTTCGTAACTGGGAATTGGACCGAAATAATGCTGTAAACTGCAACTCGGTACTACCCTCCCGACACACACACACACACACACACACTCCACGACTCATTTACTACTCAAGTTCCGATCGCAATACTTTCTTTGTGAACCACAGACCGTTTCAACTCTCATGCCTCGGTCAAACGAGAACAGGAATTGCGCGAGAGTTGTCTCAACAACACAGCCTCGTTCGCAGGTTCATGTGACCAGCCGATACCAGGGTCTCAATTTAAGCGAGGTAGGAGCGAAGATTGAGAACCTAGGGACGAGTTTGTCAACATCACTCATCAAAATTTCAACCAGTTCAAAGTTGACGAGATTGCATGAGCGCTAATGACTTTCGGCGACTAAATGCGAGCCAGACTTGCAACTTTCTTTACCTCTCATCCTCAATTAACCGACACTTAAACAATTTAATGTGGCTCGCTATAGTATATTTAAAATGGAAAATTTACAATTTAGATCCGTATTTTTTGAGGATTATTACTTTTTGAAAACCAAAATGTATCTTAGTGATGTGAAACAATACTGAAAGCTATGATTTTTTTTACAAAAGTTGTGCAATATTCGTTGATATGGCAAAAATGACGTTTCCAAATGCCATATATTTTGCCTTTAAAGTCATTTAAGATTATTTAGTAGTCGGTAACTCCAAAATGACAAATATCTTATTTCATAAAATGATTTATTTTGGTATACTCAACCATTTTGACAATTTAAAAAAAATTCTGTCGAGCCAGAAAAAAATTTCGGCTTTTTTAAATTAAATTGTCAAAATAATGCAGTCAAAATAAGTCATTTTATGGAATAAAATTTGTGTCTCACCTCTGTCGTTTTCGAGTTAAATTAGTTAAAGCCAATCTTTTGATACGTCATGGTTGCCATAGCAACAGTTGTTACGTAATTTGTGGGTAATGATTTGTATCAATAAGAAACTTTTTTTTCAACAAGTAATGATAGTCCAAAAGTTCAGATCCAAATCGTGAATTTTCCATTTTTTTTATAAACTGCTTTGAGCCAGCTCAAAGCGTATTATCAATGTCGCAAAGTGTGTTTTGAACTTATCGTATATATATTTTCAGGTAAAGTTGGTGCAGCAGACGTATTCGCGGTTTTTCTTCGTTAAACGTCTCAAGGTATGGGCATTTAATAGAACAATCTCTTTTTGAATTGAATGGATCTTTATTAAAGGTGACATGACACGAAATTTTTATTGTCCCATCTGAAAGAATAATGAATAGTGTAAAGTAACTTCTTTACAAATTTTCGTTTACATTCTTCCTTGATGAGAGAATTCAGTTTAGTTCACATGCATTGCAAACAAATTTACGTCACAGTTTGCATAATGAGCTACCAAATATTTGATAATTTATGTATTTTTATCCAACATCGTCATTTGCAAAACCGCATATGCTTTACATTGTCCTCAGCATAACGCATATATGGATTTTCAAACGATTTAATCACTTATATATGCGTGTAACTTGACATTTAACGATAAATCATTATGCAAAGTGTGACGTAAATTTGTTTCCACTTCATATCAAGAAAACTGAATACCCCACCAAGGAAGCACGTGAACAAAAATGTGTAAAAGAAGTTGCTTTACAGTTTTGACGATTCTTTCCGATGGGCCAATAAAATATTTCGTCTCATGTCACCTTTGACCGTGATTCAGGAAAAGGTTATTGCACGTTGCAATATTCACCATTCCAAAAAAGTTCACAAAATATTTCAAATGTGAAACTATGTGCGGACTTGAAACAATTTGGAAATGTTATTTATCTTCTTGACGGGTATCCGACTCTTTCTTCGATACAAATGTATAATTAAAGGTAATTATTCCTGTTTTTTAAATAAAAATAATTAAATTGCCACAGTAACGAAAGTTGCGTAACTTTTGTGAAAAAATTCATACCTTTCATATATTGTTTCACACAACTAAGATACATTTTGTTTTTCAATGAGTAATATTATTATATGGCAAGCATTTGTTTTGAAGAATCGCGCAATTTGATTGGCTGCTGACAAGGCAGGATTTTCTCGTATTTCTCACGGGTAATACGCAATTTATATTGCCCTGCGAAGATAGCCGAGTTTCAAACGGCAAAAAGTGTCTAAAAGTCTTTCAAACTATTCAAAAGGAAGAAAAATAAACCTATAATAATAAAAAGCAGCAACTGATGTGTTTAAAGAACTTTCTCATTGCGTTTTTGCTAGCGAAAATTAAAATTACAAGGTAAATTTCACAATGTTTATAACTATTAAAGTAGTCGGGAATAGTTGTGTTTTGACTATGTGAAGAGCTGCAAATTCTATTTGCAGATAGCCAGGAGGAACTTACACCATCCTAAATAAAAAATACAACTAAAGCAGCCACAGATATATAATTTTTCCCTGAAAATGCCTGTTTTTGTTAGATAAAAATAGACATAAATATGTGATTAAGCGAACTAAAAACATACTTGTCCATACTGTTTATTAATTTTATTGTTTTCATATTTGACATTTGTTGTCTTTCATTAAATAACGAAATACCTCGTATTTTTCTTGAAATGCTATCAAAACTGTGCTAGTATTCTAGATAAAAAGTGTTGTAGTGCTGTTATAGTCTTACTAACCAAGAGAACATTTTTATATGAATTTGGTTTTTTTAGAAATTTTTCGGACTTTGTACTTTGACCTCGCGTCAGCTTTTTTCCCATTTTGCAAACGTACAATGCCATGTAATAAAAAAAACTTACTGACCTCAACCGTTCGGGCAGCACGGGAAAATATCCACCCTCGGTAATTGCTGCATTGACCTCGCTATCGCTCTGTCAATACAGCAAGACCTCGGTTGGATATTTTCCCGTACTACCCTAACTCTCGGTCAGTAAGTTATTAATTCTCAAAAAATACGGATCTAAATTGTAAGCTTCCATTCATATTTACGTGTGACATCCTTCACATGTTCACACCTTTCAGGGAATGTACATGGTTTACCTAACATTTTAACTGACCGGATAATAAATATTTGTCTCTGCTTCCGTCGACGTCGGTGCGCCTGTTCGTCCGTCCGAACGGCTGTTTGTCCCACTGATGACTTACAATTAGGATCAAGATTTAATTTTTGGTTAAATTTGGATGAATACTGGACGAGGAATTGGCAAACGTTTGCTTGGCTTTGTCGACCTGATTAATTGAACTGAATGCGTGATTTTCCATTGTACGATTTATGCGTGATACATTACTTACTTTTCTTGCGGAGGTATGCAGTCTCCTCTAGTTAATGATAAAATCACTTAAAATAAGTGCAACTAAATGGGAAAATTGTAGTTCAATCTGTTAATATAAGTTAATAATAACTTTGTTATTTCCTTTTAATTAACAGGTTTAACATCCACTCCTAAAGAAAGCAAAAGGAAAGGCTATGATAATGATTTGAATCTTACTTTAATATTTTCAATAATATTCATTGTTAAAATAATTTGTAGACATTAATTGGTAGATTCATAGAAAGAAATTAATTCGGTGGCTACATGTCTTTTATTAATGATTTCATGTATAATTTTTCTTTTGATTAATGTAAACATTCACGCACAATTCTTGTCGTTAATATTTTTATTCTGTTAGTTTATATTATTTTATTTACGCTTTTAACTTTTCGACGAAGCGCCGGAAACGACAAATTTCTTTGCGTTTTTTCGGGTGCTACTGTAAGCTAGTCTTACTATGTGGAAAAGACTAGTCATGCCAACCAGTCATGCTATGTTTAATAAATCTACATTTAAATAGATTAAAGACAAATCATTTCCACGGGTTTGAACACTGTCAACCATTACAAATTTGGATATCATGCATGGGCTGTTGTTATGGCTAGTTCCACCACTGAGTATTACCAAAACCGGGCATCCTAGCCTTCCATGCACTCATAAAAAAAAACCTGTCACTACGCCGTGTGAAAACATTCAGGATTGCGACTACGTTCCTAATGTCGTCGACAGTAAAGGGATTCAGATAGTTCCTTTCGCTAGCTTAATACGCATCTGATTGGTTAACCGGATATATCAATCGGCCATCGCATCTGATTGGTTAATGGTCCCTTAATGGTAGTGGTAATTGGTGTCAAATCTGGATCTCTCTAATTTTGAAATGGCTTTATCTGATTGGTCTGCGGGAAATCGTTCTAAAATTAGCGCGTAGGAATGTACTCGCATTTCTGGATTTTTGAAAGGGAAAAAAGGCATTTTTTGTGGAGAGAGGAATGATGTGCGGTTTTGGTAATAGTTGTAAATCTCGTATAAAGATTGCTGTAACAATTGTGTTCGATTGTCGATATATTATTACCTATACTGGCGCCAACAGTTCGAATAATATCTTTTTAACCTGGAAATTTTGTCATTAATTACACATTCACTTTTAGGCTTAAGAAAAATTCGACTGAGAAACACCGTTTCAGCAAGCGAATATTTTGGACTGCGTATTAAAATAAATTAGTTGCGATCAAGCCAATTAGATTTAAATACTTGCAGAAGCAACGCAATAGACGCTGCAGGGCTGATTTTTGTTCATGAGGAGAATTTCACTGGTACTATGAAGGGGAGAAAATCTAAGAAGAAAGGTTTAAAAGTGAGATGAGTAGCTTGGTTTATTTACACCCTTCTGTTACCACCAAAGTAATAAATGACAATATTATCAATGTCAATGAAAATGACATTGAAATGCCGGATAATTCAGCTTGGCACGTGCCTAAATGATACTCTATAGGTATAGCATTCAAATTTGCAGTAACATATAGTTTACACTCGGTTTTAAGCGCATGTATCTAATAATTGCGTGTAATTATATGAACAGACAACGTTAAAAAATTTCAAAAGCAAGCAATTGTGTAAAAAATTTCCACGCACGAAAAGTTTTTGCAGGAATAATTTTTCCTAAGCCAGGCTATGGGTGGATTATGAAAAGAAGGAAGTGAAGGAAACCTTAGACTATATGGAAACTTATGATTTTACTATTATCATAGTTTATAATTATATTCTGTGCAGTTTCCTTATATTTTGTTTAAAGTAACAGAAACCACAAAAGTGGTTATCATGTGTTCTTGCAAAAAATACATATACGCTGATTTCAATGCAAATCTCATTTTATTCATGCAAACCACTTGAAAAATTGACAGAAAAAATAAATCTAATTCAGCAATCAACTATATTCTAATGTTCTGTCTTCTCATCTTACTTAAACTAAATCAATGTTTAACATATTAGTCGTAGTCCGTTTTCGATAATTCAATCAAACACAAATCTGTGTGTATATGGTATTAACGAGCAAATATGTAACCGCCATAGCTCTCACTTCCTTGTCACCATTGTCACCCCCACAATAGGCGCTGTTGCCACAACTATTGACTATGTTTCGTGAATTACAGTATCCACGTTGATTCGCATCTATTGCACCAAATCCAAGAAAGGAGTCTGCACTATTACAACTGTTCTCGTTATTTCCGATAATGCCGATTCTAACTCGAGCATGTTGGTTGTGTTCAGCGACAACATTGAATCCTTGTCGTCCACAGTTTGGTTGAAGGGAAGAACCAACATTCAGGGATTTCCATGTATTACGAAGAATGACAGTTGAATGGAATTTGCCGCCTGCGAGGATGTCATACAAAGAATTCGCGAAGTAGCTTATTGGAATGAACTGAACTGAATTATTAACTTTCATTCCTACACATAGCTGCTTAAATGGTGTACTCCAGTAATTTGCCAGTTTTGTTTCCCTGTCGTCTAACCCGGTTTTACCATCACCCGGCGAATAACTTTTCATATTACTCCAGTAAGCGGACGAATAAGAAAATGTTGTCTGCAACAAGAGTCGATTCAACAATTATGTGGTGAAGCATATATTCATTTGTTATATATGTATATTATCAAGTACGCGTGCTAAATGAGGTTTATCACTGATGTTCTGCGTTTTATAATGACAGTGGAAGCTTATATATGTTGGCTATATTGTCCCCGAGCCGACGGCGCGAAGCGCCGTGCGAAAGTACTAATTCTTCCCGGCTATTTACACCCGGGGAAACGAAAGCATTAGCGAAGTCTAAAGTTCATCAAATATCGCGGGCGTCAGTCACCAACGGTGTTGAGTGGGTGGTCATACTCACTGATCTCAAAAATATGGCTGATTGCTTGTAGGAGTGGGATGAGGAAGATTTCAATTTTAAAAGACATATATTTGGAAAATCGTTTCAATAACAACAAGTTTGAAGCAATTTTGTTTGAAGAAAGGAGAAGAATTGATTTACTATGGGAAATCGTGAAATATACGGCAAGTTTCCTTTGAATATTTAATGTTTACGAATTTTGTTGCTTTAACTTTTTGGCTAAAAACATGAACTGTTTTCCTTTTCAACGAAGCACTAATTTTCATAAATTACCGTTTAATTTGAGGAAATATCTTAAAATGTAAAGGAGACCAAATTGATTTGAAGAATGAACTGAAAGTACCTAACAATTTGTTTTATATTTAACTTATTATGTTTTATTATTAGTTTATCGGCAAATGAACTATAGAGTATAGTTGAATGAAGGTTTCAAAACATTTTACGAAGCGTTTCACGTTAAATTTTACATTAAATCAAAGCTTACAAAATGCAAACTAATATACCTACAGTACATATTTCGGAAATTTATTGTTGTACACTTAAAGGTACGAATCTTTCAACTATTTTGCAGTTTTGTATAAAAAACATGAATAAATTAAAAATTAAAGAATATGGTGTTGTCATGGCAACACTTGAGCGCGAGCCTGCGTTCAGTGGGCCATTTCTGAATACTTCATGTTAATTTAATGTCTGGAAAATATTGGCGAGGGGTCACTGCCTGCATGTATTTCTAGTCCTACTCAAATGATCTACAACATAAACACTTAGTATAACCGTTTTATAGCGTCGAATTTTAGTGTTCCTAAAATTAATTGGGACATGCACCGGTTATAACATACGCGTTTACTTAGGTCGCTATATCCACCGGGTAAATTTCGAATACCCATGCACCTGAATGACAAGCTTAAACGGCAGGAACGTTTGTCGTTTATAGACGAAACATTGGATATTTCGCATGGAAGAAGACGGGATTTTGATAGAAAAGCAACTTACATGCAATGTTATTGTTAAGAAGTAATTTCATTAATCCAATGAACATGAAAAACTCACTTAAGACTTCTCTTAGTCTTCAGGTACACCGAGGTCACTTCTAAAAGCGTACAATTCCGTGATTTTGCTATATACTAAGTTTTACACCGACCAGCGTATGTGTTCATGCATGTACAGCCGTTACATATTCTGTCCTTTTCCATTTTCTTTTATTTAATTTAAATCTTGAAATAAAACTTCTATACCTCTAGTTATGAAAACAAACAATGAGTTTAAAAAGCCATGAAAAGTACTTCGAAACTAAAAAATGTGTCTCCGGTCGTTGAAATTAATTCCTTTGATCAGCCAATCGAAACTTATGAGAAAATATTATTCATACTGATTTGAATGAATTGAAGGTCAGAAAAAATGTTCAAACAGTCGAATGATTTAAACAATTAGATCACGCAAAATTAACTTTGTGCATGTAGTATTGAAATTTTACACTATCCTTGAGATCACTGAATATATATGTATAACTTCTAAAAACATTCACCTTGTTTCCATCGATTTTCATCACCATCGTCCATCCACCTCCAGAACACCCTGGTAATGATGTCATATGACAATACACACTGCTGTAATTCTCAGCAGTTTTAGCTTTGATCCGATAAACACCATTTTTTACACAACTACAAAGAAAAATAGGCAAAAAGTTAATAAAAACAAAGCATCATATTTCACAAACGAACAATGTTGCTTGTTTCTATTCTTATTAAGACAGCGAGGAAAATGCAGCACAATGTTACTGTTTTAAATTTATTTTATTTTATTTTATTGCCAAAGCGGGATAACTTTGTCCGAATTAAAATTTCGACGCTTTGTAAAGCGTTTACCGATGCTCGTACAACTTAACTGCTGTTTTCCATGCTGATATAATAAAACGTTCTCAATCAGACACAATATCATTCCCTCGTTTGAACATTTTTGGACAGTTATTCATGTACTATTTAAAAAACGAGCAGGAGTGTTTTATTAGGTTTAAAGCCACGAGCGCGCAGCGCGAGTGGCTTTAGACCTAATAAAACACGACCCGCGAGTTTTTTAAATGACTTCAAAAACGTATGCATAATAAGTCAAATCTTTATATAAAAATCTTTATATAAAAATCTTTATATAAAAATCTTTATATAAAAATCTTTATATAGTTTGCATAACAATGGTCTTTTGTTAAAGTGTTCTTTAGCTGGTATAAAGACGTATGCACGTGACTAATTTCTTACTCAAGATTGGATAATTGGTTCATGAATTATTAATGAGTTTTTGAAATAAAAATAAAGATTTATAGCCACATGTATTTAAACAGAATGGACAGCAAAATGCAATGAATTCGCTTCACGACCCTCTCCATGTATGAAATGACTGTCTCGTTTATGTTAAAAGTCCCTCTCGTTCCGCACCTGACATTAAAACTGCCATTTTAGATGACGACCATTGCTCCAATGTGCCCTCAGGTGCCAAAAATACATTAGGCGAATGGAATTAGAATATTTTCCACTATATGTTAGCTCTGGATTTCTAAATTAACGAATGGGAGACCTTTTACTCACCTGTCATCGAGTAATGCATTCAGGCATGAATCATATATGATGTTGGCTAAATAAAATAAAATAAAGAATATAATATTCTTTGCTATGCTTATAATTTTAGTTTACAATTTATCTTACGTATACGCGAGATAGTCGTTTAGAAAATTATTAAGGTCGGTTTAGGTCATGAAAGATTGACGTTGGAGAAAACAGGGCCGTCACTAGACGCGATAATTGGGGGGAGGGGTGCGTGTATATTCATATATTCATTTTCACATAGCGTGAAAGCAATCGCTTTAAAAAGAAATCAGTAGGGGAGAACACACATATATGAATATGCACACCGCTGGGAAACAAAACCAATCATAAGCTTATCTTCAGCCAAATGCAATCAACTGAGAATAAGAGTTGATTAAAGTTGCAAATCTCACTCGTATGTCACCACCAATTCTCCTGGACTACTACAAAATACATGCATGCAGAAACCCCTCGCCTTGCTGACAAAACCATAGTATTTTCCGAACATGAAGTATTTGAAGTAGTTGTCATGGTAACACGATAATTTTGTCAAGAATATTTTTAGAAATGAAAAATTCTCTAAAATTATTACTTTTAATTACCAAATTTTCAACTCCCCAAATATATATATGTTAAGTATGTTATTATACAAAAAATAAGTTTCATTTAAAATAAATTTCAAGTAAAATTCGACCTCAAACGCTTCGCAAGACGTTTTAAAATGTTCCTTATAAAACTAAACTGCCTTTCAAGGCTTTATCGAAAAACTTTGAGTTTGAAATAAAATGATTTCGAATTCTGGCATTCAAACAACTTTTCTTCCTTTTTTAATATAATAATAAAGGTTGATCGATAAAGAAACACTGAAGTTATATGCTGTATTTTTCTTTAAAAATATCGCAACGATCGACTTCAAAGACGTTATAAAGCGAACAATACATCAATATTTAAAACAAACCTACCTTCGTTAACGTCGGTGCCTTTACTCCCTTCTTTTAGTTATTGTTTCCTTAAAAAGTATTTGAAATTCACAAACTAATCTTGCAAAAATGAAATATATTTGCAAGAAATCATCATTCATCAATCATCAAATCACGAAATGTTTGCTATTTCGCTGTCGTCATGCAGTCGTTATAATGCTAACTTTAAATTTGACCAATCAGTGTCCGCTATTCATGACAGTCCGCCATATTTTTGAGATCATTGAGGAAGGCCACCCACAGAAACTTCGTTGGTGACCCACGCCTGCGATCATTGATGAACTTTAGACCTCGCTAAAGCTTTCGTTTCCCCGGGAGTAAATAGCCGGACGAAATTAGTACCCTCGCCCCGGCTCAAATTTTGTTGAGCATTGATGTGAGTTTTGGAACCCTATGCTTTTATCCACTGGACTCTCGCGAGCTCTCACAGAACTCTTGCTTGGTCTGACTAGCACGCGGGAATTGGAAAACTGTTCATGCAAATACACGCTTGTCAACTCTCATCATGATCGATCTCTTATATCCTCGGCAGACCGGCGCATTAGGATATTTCCAATTTTTTAATTGTTTTGCGAAGTCATTGCATATATTTGTGAAAAAACGCAACTAAATATAACCGAAATTATTAATTTGGTAGGCTATTGATAGTGATAAGATATACGAAAAAGGCATGCAGTGTATGTTGCTCTATGATATAGATCGCATTTTCAACAAACTCGTGCGATAAATTTAACATCTAAACTGATAAACTTAACGTACAAAGTGAATTACCCAAAAAAATATACATGATCATTATTTATCCAAATGACTCATAGTTTTGGATTGGGTAACAGGCAATTAGGAAATCGTTATATCAACTCAATAGCTGATCAAATATGGAGTTTTGACATAAAATTTCAACAGAGCGACGAGATAACGATGAATATGGAAAAATCAGATTCAATGTCATCACGTCATGCAGTGGGAATACGAATGCGAAATGTGAAAGCACGAAAGGCTTTCAAACATATGCGCTAATTGAACCCACGAGTGCGGAATGTCTTGTTCATCCTTTAAACGAATAATAAAACAATTGTTGAATTAGGTTTTTGCCAGATACGAAGAATTATCAAGCCTTGATTTGGTGCATTCAAGTTGCGTGATCATATTCACTTAAAACGGATTAAATCTGATTTTTTGGTTGAGGTCATGAGCACTCTCTTATGAGTTGATCAAAAAAGCATGTCATTACGACTCAAAGTGATGCGAGCAATTTTGAAATCGAACTGATATGAGTGCGACTCGTGCTGAAATCACACTGCTGTCTAAGAACCAACCAATAGTGAAACGCCCTTACAGCTTACTCGTTCCCAGTCGCTCGCGTTGGATCATGGAAATGGGTTAGGCTTCCGAGCGACAGGGAAATCCTGCATTCAAGATGGCGTGCATACATAATGGCGGACGCAATATCCAAGGACCAAAAATTAGGGCAGAAACTTCTTAAAGGCGTTTCATGGTGCATAAAGTTGTCTATCCAGTTAGAATGTGTGGGAAATGTGTTACTTTTGAAGTAAATGGATTACCGCAACATTTTCGTGTGGCTCATAAGAAAAATATCACGCTGCAAGATATTAATTTAAAAATTCGACATTGACGATGAAACGCATGTATTGTATGGCGAAGAAACGTGTTGTGATATATTCAATATCAGTATGAGAAAAAATCAAAGGCGAGTTAATATCATGAATAATTTCTTTTACAGTTGTGAATAAAGCTTGTTTAGCAAATTTTTGCGTCCCTAATATTTTTGTGCAGGGATAAAATATGCACATATTATAATATTTGTTGATAATACAACTATTAGGTGTGGGGTGGATGTTGGTTCAAAGTTTCCAGGGAAGGAGATGTTAATCAGTGTATTTGCCGAAGATGCGAGGAAAGCTTCCAAAATTTACGGAGTAATAAATTCTGGGAAATGCAGACCAATCACTGTATATGACAAAATGGCGTATGGTCGTGCTTGTCTCTGCTCCGCAGAATGTTCAGATTTTCGTATAAAAAGTTTGAATCCAGACGCTTTCCTTGCTCATAAGGATGAACTAGACTTAACCTATGATGGCAAGCGTTTAAAATGGAATAAAAACTTCGAAGATCTAAAATATTTCTTCGAGACAGTTATTGGCCTGAACGGCAAATGGACATCGCCGGGAGTGAACTCTAAGAAGTTATCAAACTGCAAATCTAACATAACAATTACTTGGTATTATGGTAAACAAAGAACACTCCTATTCCAGAGAAAGGAAGGGTATTTGCTGAAAGACGTTTTAACAAAAATTTGTGAAGCGAACTCTACGTTAAAGTACTCAGAACCTCAAGCCGACGCCTAAGCAAGCTGATTGCTATGAAGTGGTTTGCGCTGTAAGTGCGTCCGTAGAAAGAACTATTACACCTAACGCAGAGAATTTAACCAACTTGTCTAATATCGATGACTTAAGTAATATATCTCAGTCAGATGCTCTATTTAATATATCCAAAAACGATGATATACTAACAAGCTCTGATGCTTCTACTATAAAGGAACTTGAGGGCTTTATTGACAGGTCATTTTGTAGTGCTTTTGGGCTGCCTGATTTTGCCCAACCGACGGACATGTCTACTCCATCTAACCGACACACTGATGGAAATCTAGCCAAACTTTAATCACAATTTTTCACGTTTAAGGAAAGTGTTGAGGCACAGCTGCAAAATTTTTCTTATAAACTCTCTGAGCAGAATAACATCATTAAGTCAAATAAACAATAGCTATGCAAATTAAACTGTGAAAATTTGCATTTAAAGTCATGTATCTCAGAGTTAGAAGTCAAATTGCTGTCAACGAATACATCAAATACGAACTGTAGTTTGGATCTGGAAAGTCTAATGCATGGTTAAAGAAAATGCTTTCCCAACTGTAAATGCTGATGTCTGTATTACTTCTAGTGGCTGTTCACCTGAAACTAATAACAGTCATGAAAACGTTAACCAACCAACCGTGGACTCTGACCTTGACCCTCCAGTGTCCGAAATGAATAATCACTCAAAGGATTCAATTTATTTATTTATTTATTTATTTATTTATTAAACTTTGCCAAAAACACTTAACAGAACAGCAAATAGACATCTAGACAATAAACACGGACAAAAATGGCAGGGACACCACAACAGTGTAAACCAATTACTGTCGGCCCTATACAAAAATACACATACAGTACAGAATATATAACATACAGTACATGGACAAGAGACTAAAAACAACAAGTTAGTTCAGAACATAAGTAACGACTAGTATTACACTTCAGACAAATAGTCTTCCATGTCCTCGGATCTTCTTCGTCGAAGCATTCTCTCAGGGCTGTCAGGTAGTAAGTTTGTAAATCGGTTTTGAATTGCCTAATATTAATGTCAGGAGATCTTAGTGTAGTTGGTAAAGAGTTCCAAGATCTGGATGCACGAATAAAGAAGGAGCGTTGGTAGGTAGAGGTTTTGCATTTGGCCGGACGGAAGGAGATTTGGTTGCCACTGGAGGATCTGGTCGTTCTGGTTTGGGACATGATTTCGGGGAGGACGTCATGAGACACGTTGACCAAGCCGTTCACCGCTTTAAAAAAGAACACGAGATCCAAATATTCGTGCCAGTAAGATAGCGGTAAGAGACCCAAACTGGCAAGTCGTTCCCGATAAGTCTCACTGCACAAGTACGGATGGTTTAAAATGTACTTCGTTGCTCTTCTTTGGACCCGTTCCATACGTTGGATAAGCACTTGAAGCAGCACAGCTCTCAATTTCTGTTACCAGAGAACGAGCAGCAACCCCAATCACTCAAGCGACCAATGATAACAGCAATTAATATAGAACCAAATGTTGGAAAATATTTCGTCTTAGCACCTCCACAACGGAATAATATCGAATGGTTAGGTCGCTTACCGTTGATTGAAACACTAAACCAGGCTCACCAAACTTCGTTCTGCAACACTAAAAGTAGAAGTAGTAGTGTTTTTAAAAACCGCGACACCGTGTATTATAAATGTTGTCAGACAAATTCAAAGCCTTTAACTTCACCAAGGCATAATAATATACGTAATTCCCCTGGTCGACGCCCTTTTTTAAAACGTCAGAACATCAAACCACCATCATATCGAACATCTCATCGTCATCACTCACTAGAGTGGTTGATCCATCTGGATGTGGTGTACCGCATGATGAGACAATGAGAATACCAGTCAGAATCACCTCGCGCTACCCTACACAGAATATGACTCAAAATGGACCAAGTATTTCGAACCTAGTAAATATTCAAATTGTAAACTCTAGGAAAAAGACCATAACTGCGATAACAAAAGAACATGTTCCAAAACCGCTTTCGGATATGCAATGATCGAAACTTAGAATTTCCCACCTAGATGTTCGCTCAATTAAGAATAGGAATCATCTTATACAGGTTCGAGAACTTATGAAGGATAGGAACTATGATATTTTAGCCTTGTCAGAGTCGTGGTTAAACTCCACGGTGACAAACGCGGAAGTAGAAATCGAGGGCTTTAAACTAACAAGATTGGACCGTTTGGGAAAGACTGGAGGGGGTGTTTGTGTCTATTCTAAATCGTCCATTAAAGTCAAATGTCTCAAAAATATAACAGGGATATCTGAATTCGGATTTCATCAGCTATATGGATGCTAATACAACTCAGGAAACTAAGATCAATTCTCCTCTGTGTGACATATAGGCCTGATTATTGTCCTACTTCAACCTTTCATGATATTTTCATGGAAAATTATATACATGCTCTCACATTAGGAAAAGAGATAATTGTTGTAGGTGATTTAAATTTTGATTTGCTGAAACCGGATCCTCCAGAGGCTATGTCGCTACTAGATTTTTGTACAAGTGTGAATCAAACTCAATTGATAAAAGAACCTACACGAGTAACAGAAACGTCATCTTCCCTTATTGATATTATTATGACGTCGAATGTCAGTTTAGTAGAAAATCATGGGGTGGCTTTATCTCACATTATTGATCACTATCTAATATATGCTTCTTTGAAACTTAAGATGTTAAAGCCGCCACCTAGTTATAAATGTGTGAGATCCTACAAAAACTACAAGCCTGATAGTTTCCTCGCGGATTTACAACGAATACCTTGGTATGATATTTCCATCATGGATGATGCAAATGTAATGCTAGACCATTTCAATGAGAGGTTTCTCCATGTACTGGAAACACATGCACCTGTGAAAACAGTGAGGATTAAATACCGCAGCTGCCCCTTTATTAGCACAGAAATTCGCGAACTTATGCAATACAGAAATAACCTATTGAAAACGGCTCGAAGTACTAAATTAACAACAGACTGGGAAATGTATAGTAAACTAAGAAAAGAAGTAAAATCCAAACTGAGAGATGCCGAAAGGGAATATGTACGGAAAGAACTAGAGCACAGTCACAACACTAATTCAAAGTGGAAGATAATTAAGAATTGTATTCCTCGTAAAGAAAGCACTCAACAAGTCTACACAAAGGATATGAAAGAAGTTGCTAATGAGTTTAATCAGTTTTTCACCTCAGTTGGTAGGAGAGTATCAGAAGATTGCACATCTTTAATAGAATTATATAACCTGCCTGCACCTCCAACAAGTGTTTCGCTGGCTGTCGCTGAGTCACAAAATTTTAGTTTTGTTCCTGTCTCGTGTGGAGAAGTACGAAGGACAGTTATGGCATTCCAATCGAACAAAGCTCCTGCCCATGACAAAGTACGAATGTCTACGATAAAGGATGCACTTCCATGTATTCTCCCAGTTATTACTGACATGATAAATCGCTCGTTACAGACTTCAGTCTTTCCATCAGCCTGGAAAATATCAGAAGTAATACCACTTCTTAAAGAGGGAGATCACGAAGTGGCAAATAACAATCGACCACAATCGTTACTATCAGCGACTTCTAAAATTTGTGAACGAGTTGCTTTAAATCAACTAACCTCTTATACGAACGAAAAGAAGTGCCTAAGTAAACATCAAAGTGGTAATAAACAACTAAATTCATGTGAGACTCTTGGCGTGTTTATGACAGACAAAGTGTTTAAAGCAATGGACTCAAAAGAACTCACAGTCATAGTATTGCTGGATTTGTCAAAAGCGTTTCACAGTATTGATCACCGCAAACTCTTAACAAAGCTAAAAGCATTAGGCCTAAGCCTTGGCGCCTTAGAATGGTTCAAAAGTTACTTGACCGGAAGGACGCAGCAGGTGAAGATTGGCTCAGTTGTGTCAGAACCAGGTCATATCACTCATGGTGTACCGCAAGGTTCGATATTAGGACCTGCTTTGTACAATATATATTTGAATGATTTGCCCAGCATCCCGAGTTTCGGTGACTTAGAATCGTACGTAGATGATTCAAAATTGTATCTTTCGTTTCCCATCAAGGATGTTAATGAAGTTATGGGGAAAATCAATGAAGACCTGTCAAAAATCACAGCATGGTGCTGTCACAATAGTCTACTAATTAATCCAGACAAGACCAAAGTGTTAGTACTAGGAACACACAAAAAATTGCAACAATTACCGGATGACTTTTATGTGGCATTACTTGAGAAAAGGATTAATCCGACTATTTCAGCAAGCGATCTTGGGATTCAACTTGATTCAACACTAAGTTTTAACGAAAATATAGCAAACACTGTTTCTACTTGTATTGCGAGCTTATGTCCAAGGGTGGGTTGACTACAAATTTTTGTAGTTCGCTATAACTACAGCTACTTCAAAAATATGTAGTCAGCTACAACTACTGCTACTTTTCAACAAAGGTAGTTCGCTACTGACTACAGCTACTGCTTAAAAAATGTAGCGAACTATTTCGCTATTTCGCTACTCTATATTTTTTAGTTTTACGGTACTTGGAGCATCCACTTGCTCTGGCTGTAATATAACCTACAACAAATCGACTTACGAGTAGCAACAGTAAACAAAAAGGGTCAAAGCAACATTTTTATAAGCACTACATTGTTCAGGAGTCCCACTTTTCATTGCGCTAAAATAATCTTTACTGTATAGAATAATCTTTTAAGCAAACCGCGTCTTAATATCATTCTATTCTATGAACGGTTGCTAACAATTTAAAAAAGTAGCGAATAGCGATTCGCTGTTTGAAAAGTAGTCAACTACTTGGCTACTTTTAGGCAAAATGTAGTTCGCTATAACTACAACTACTGTTTTAAGAAAGTAGTAAAAAACTACTGGCTACTTGAAAATTGTAGTTCGCTACAGTATCGAACTACAACTACTTCGCTACTACCCACCCTTGCTTATGTCAGATAAACAGGGTTAAACATCTTTTTGACACTAAGTTTTTGGAAAATGTCATCTCGTCCCTAGTATTTTCCAAATTGTATTATTGCTCAAACGTATGGTCCAGTACGACTAAGAAGAACATAGAAAAATTACAAAAAGTGCAAAACTTCGCGGCGAGAATAATCACAGGAACACAAAAATATGAGCATATTACTCCAATACTCAAACAACTGAATTGGCTACCTGTCCCAGACATGTTAAAATACTTTGTTGGCGTTCTAACGTTCGAATGTTTGAATGGACTAGCCCCTGACTATCTCAATTCATATTTTCAGGAGAAATTATCTTTACACGATAGAAACACCAGAAATAAACAAAAACTAAACATTCCAGCTTATAGATCGGCGGCCGGACAACGAACATTTGAATACCGATCAGTATCCCTGTGGAACTCTCTACCTAGTAACATTACTGTATATGACAATTGTAAAGACTTTAAAAGTAATTTTTATAACTATCTGCTTGAACTCTTTCTTTTAAAATTTTAATGAACTTATCTAATTTTAACGATTTTAAACTGTAAATATACAATGGAATAATTTAGATATAATTTACATGTATATTAATCTGAAAAACCAAATGTTTGGAGAATTAATTAATTATAATAATAATAATAATAATAATAATAATAATAATAATAATAATAATAATAATAATAATAATAATAATAAAAATAATAATAATAACAATAATAATAATAATAATAATAATAATAATAATCCATGCAAAATATCAGTTGGTATACCAAACAAGCAATGGATGCAACACATGGAAACATTGAAGGGAACATTATTGTGGTCGAATGCTCTTTTACAACGATAAACATAAATCGAGACATAAATATGAACCTAAAATAGCTCAAATTTGTTACAGCGTGCCCCTCCCCCCGAATATACCCCCCCCCCACCTCATTGTCTTTATGTGTTATTAATACATGTCTAGATTTTCCTGTTTATGACTGACTTGTTTATTATATACTAACACAAGACTGAAAAGAGCACCCATGTACTGTATAAGCCCATCAAAAATTGCTTACAAAAGAATGTAAGCGAAGGGCTTATAGTCAGAGGTTTATGGTATTCTTGACTTGCAACCAACCCTTGAGAGTTAGAAGACAATTAACAGCTGCCATATTGGTGCCAAATTCGAATGAAAGATAATGAGATCCTTTTAAAAGAATGGCTCCGACATGAATAGCACTCTCCTTCTTTTACAGTACATTTTTCTGGATAGCAGTGGCTTATATAGCTTTAGTCATAGCTTTGTTATTAGCCTGCCTCGCACCAGTGGCGTAACCAGCCCGACAATTTAGTCCCGCTACGCAAATTCAAAATTATTATCTTTATTCATTTCTTTAGAAATTGATTGTTTTCACAGTCAATGAACATGAAAATATTTGCATAGCGGGACCAAATAGTCGGGCTGGATACGCAACAGCCTCGCACACATCCTTATGGCTCTGAGCCATTTAAGGTTGTCTGCGAGGCAGGCTACTTTGTTATCTGCGATAGTCTATGTTCAACCATAAATATGTTAATAAGAGGAATATAGACTTTTGTATGAATTTGTATGACAAGCAAAAACATGGCCATTAGACACATGCAAGGATGGATTTCCTGGGGGGAGTGGGTGTGCACCCCCTCCCCTAGCCCTGGCCAGAGAGGGTGTTATTTTTCATGATAAAGGGAAAAAATATTAGAGACAAAATGAGATAGAGTAATTTGAGTAATAACATGATGATAAGCGAACTGTGAACAACAATTACAATACAGTAGTCATGCAAGACTTTGCAGCAGTGAAGCAAGTTGATGGGCTGGCGGCAGACATGACCGACACAACTCGGCACCAGAGCTGGCAGAGCATCCCCCTACTATTACGTTCCATTCTCGATTGAACAACTTAGTTTAAAACCTCTTTGCTGTGAGGATAAACCTTGAAAAAATTAAAAGTGTTTCATTTGTTTGCCAATAAGAGGGCGGCATTACTAAAGAGGATGTGTTAATTAAGGAGGGGCGAGGGGCATGATAAGAAAACCATCGTAGAAATTACAGAACAAGTGGTTTTTAATTAAACTACCAGTTCAAATGTCAAATTTTGCTCTCTGAAAGAGGTTATTAACAGTTTGTAATAGGGGGAATATTTATAAAATAGGAGATATAGTTACAGACCATTTCCGAACTATGTTAGACAGAGTAAATTACTAACGGATAAGTTTATCAGAAAACTTTTTTTATTAGTCAATGCAGTACACTGTTTTAATATTGGTCAATGCACAATTTGTATCTTGTTTTTGCATTGTTGGTATTTGTTGCAATTAATGCCAATATGACACAAAGAAAGTATAACTTTCAACAGCAAGAATCTGGTGTAGCTCTATAATAGATTGCATGATTTATTTAGTTTGCAATAATATATACAGCATTTTTTTAATCCTACCCACTTAAGTCAAGAAATAAGTCTTATTGTATTATATTTTATGTATTAAAAACTGAATAAATATTTATTAAATATAACTTTATTTTTCTATAAATATGTAGTACTTCCAAAGTGTACCAGTTCAACAAGACACCCGGCCATTAATACAGGAAAGCAACAGCCATCAAGTTACCAATTACGATGTATATACTCAGCTAGCTTTAATACCAGATATATCGCCACCGTCATATTTATATGTGAATAGGATAATTTCTCATATTTCATTGAGGACCAAAACAGACGCTATCAAGTTTGAAAGCAAATCTTTTATGTCATCTATATTTAAAAAAGTGTGTACAAAATTACTGCTTGATCAACTACAATTATCATATACCTAGTCGCTAATTGTTTATATTTTTAAGATACACATCCTTATATATAAATCCATGGCACATCCGCCAACATATGGCTTGCATATAAACAAGCTATCATCACTCACCGTAATTTAAGTCAGAAAGAGATAAATTTTCCGTTTACACATCTAATTCGTCACACGAATCCTTGCAAGAGTTTTCTAAAGCCTGTATCGTCCCACTTTCGTCCAAAAATTCATGTATATTTGAGAAAAATGTCAATTTTGCCCGATTGCCGAGTTTTCGACTATTCTGCCAACTTTTCGACACACGATTCCACATTCCCTCGCATTTCCGACGTGTGTTGTCAACGCCTAACCTGCGAACGGGCATATTCTCCCGTACTAAAATATAACGAGGGACTGTGGAAGAGACAGCCCTTACAGTATGTTTAAAAAGTATGTTTAAATATTAGCAACTTTAATTTATTAAGGTAATTTTAAATGTTTCTAAACTTTTAAAGGAATTTGTGTGCGTAACACTTTTTTCAAAAAATTGTGTTTTCACCGCGTATGCACGTTGAATCAATAGGTGATAAGTCACTACAGGGACGTAGCCAGGGGGAGGGAGTGGTGGGAGCCGCGGCTCCCCCCCCCTTTGGAAATATTTATTGCTAGATATATATATATACTTACTTCAAAATTAATTAAAGTAAAATTGATTCTCGACACAGTAACATGCCTCAAAATCAAAGTAGATTGTCCAAGAGTTTGTCAAATATCAATGTATCGAGATAACCAAGATGTTTCAGATGTTGACGATACGGACTAGATTTTTTCCGCGTAGCAGTGTATATCCCATTTTTGGATACAATTCTTGAGCAATTTCGATTTTGATTTAATGAGAAAACGACGTTTGCTGGTTTGTTTGATACGCTGCTTCCAGCTAACCGTGCAAAAAATGGTGCAGTGGAAGAAGAGTTCATGCAGCTTTTTGGAAACTATTCTCAATTTCTTCATGCTACCAATGTAAGTTGTGCCTCATGATACTAGTGGCATGAATGCCTTAGCGCAGTATCGATTGTGGGTTGCTAAATGGAAGAGAGAATTTTCCAGTTCAACTGATTCATCAACTGATCGTATATGCGATCCCAATGTTTTTCCAAGCATTTACGCCCTTTTATCTATTGCCAGCATCTTGCCCATATCAACAGCCATGATGTGCATCTACGATACAGAACCAGTTGATGTAGACCGAGTAATCGAACGTTTTGCCAATATGAAAAATCGACGTTTGTTGTTATGATTTAATCAACTTAACTCCAACTTCATTGCTAATATTACCCTGGGTGCCAGACACTCCTGTGATAGAAGTGAGGACACGGCGAGGAGGCTCTGGTCAAACGAGCATCCAGCCTTACTTTGGCAAGTTCAATATTTGAACTCTGTTTGTGATTGGTCTAAATTTATACGACTCTTTTCATTGGTTAACCGACATCCATCGGTTAAACAATGATAAAGGCTAACATAAATTCAGACCAATCACAAACAGAGTTGAAATATTGAACTCACCAAAGCGAGGCTGTATGCTCGTGTGACCAGAGCCTCCTCGTCGTGTCCTCAATTCTGTCACAGCTGGCGGCTCTGGCACTCAAGGTATTGTTTTATAACAACATAACTTACATTACTAAGTTACATTTGAAATTTACTGTCTACATGCAGTACATTATAATTAAGTCTTACACAATTGCGTTCAGTTTTCTTTATAAAACGCCTATAAGCTTGTGGATAGGCAAACAATGGTGTTTTGTGTTTCACTGTCTAACCCTCGAAAAGCTAAATATAGTATAGCATGCAATTCTTACTTTTGATAGCTACAATTCGGAAATTTGTAGTTGGTCCTCGTCTAGTGGCCACAACCGTCCAAGCTCTTTCTAACCAATAATCCCCCTCCTCAGCCTTGTGGCTATACGACAATGCCACCAACTCTGCATATAGCTCTTTTGCAGCAAACATATAACCACTACTAAACCTTCAGCCCGGCCTCATGGCTTCCCCCCTCCCCCCCCCATCCCCCATTTGTCAGGTCTCGCTACGTCCCTGAGTCACTATAATATATAACCTTACCTTCAGTTCTTCTTGTACAGACTTTGTCTTCTTCAGTTGTTCTTTAATTTGGTAAATTTCCGCGTTCATTTTTGTAATCTCGCTTTTCATTTCTGACAGCAAACTTTTCATCTCCATAATATCCGGTTTGAGAGCGCATTTCTCAGACGTGGTATTTTTTATTGTTAAACAAATTTCTTTCTTTCCATCGAGGGAAATTTCGAAAGCGTCGATGCTAAAAATATTAGAACCTATTTTGAACAAACATTCATCCACCAGTTTTCAACAGAAAATTTGAAATTGTTTCTTTAAAGAAATTCCGAGCATCAATTTGGCTCAGAACTAAGGGCGAAATTATCAATTGAATGTTGGAATCAACAATGTATACAAGAATATCATTTATTGCATGGTTGTAGGAGAGAAAAATTAAGAAAGAATAAAAAATCTAACTAAAAACCGAAATACCAATTACAAAATATCCACAAAGGTATCTCGACAACCTTAAACGCATTAAATACACAACCCTTCGCCCCAAACGTATTTGCATGCAATAATATATTGTATTGCATTTCTTAAAGTGCTACTGCAGCGAATTTTTGGACCTAGTTTTTTTTGCTTAAATAAAAATTCAGTCTTTTAGAAGCATTTTCATATATATTAGACCATCATGCGATGCTTAGAAGTTGCCAAATTTAACTTCTGAAGTTCGTTATCGGGTGCGAACTTTTCCGCCTCCATATTGATGCCGTGTGACGTCATAAGATGAACGGAAACGAAAATATGAAGGTCGTATTTGTAGTAAATTATATGGCGCGTCAACATATCGCAGTGGAATTTTTATCTATTATATTTCACTTGTTTACATGGCGCAGATAACTGATTTTTAAAAATCGAAGAACAAGTGCTACTGTATATTATTGTTTATTTGACGGGGAAATGACGGTTAGAGACTCAGATAATAGGGTCAGTACTACATCTGGAAGTCAACGAGTATGGACTCGGCTAAGCCGGCTAAAGTTGAAATACGAAGAGATAGGGACATTATATAACGCCGCTGCAGATATAGGCAACTGTGCCAACTACCATCTGTGACTATGTTGGAGCAATCAAGCGATGGTACAATACATGTAAAAATAAGGGTGGAGTAAGTAGATCCTTTTTATTGCATGCATATTTATATTGTATTGTGCTCGCCTCGGTACTGTGTTTTAATTATTGTTTGAACACATGTGGTGTGTGTAACTTAATATTTATTATAAACTGAATTGTGCGTGGCAAAAATATAACAACGTTTATAAACACAAGCATACACTCTAAAAACACTCTGGTTAAATTTGGGTTAATTCAACCAGTACGGAGTTAAAAATCCACCTACACAAGTCTGGTTAAAAAAAATTAACCATTTTCCTGGTTAAAAGTCCAAAAAAGTGTACCAAATTTTTGTTGAATTGATAATTTTTAACCAGGAAATGGGTTAAATTTAACCAGAATGTGTTGGGTGGATTATTAACCCAATTCCTGGTTGAATTTAACCAGAGTGTTTTTAGAGTGTATTCATAGCCTAATAATTCGCAATATTCAAAATGATTTTGATTGTGTTTTTAATAGATGGCGATAGGTGTAATTGGCAATTATTGGCTTTGGTTCTATTAATGGCTAGTTTTACTTGGATGGGAAAACAGAAGAAAATAATTTCCAACAACAGAGACACAGCTGCCATACGTTTGAGTAGAAAGCGGTTGACTTTAGTTGCATTAGGCAGATTGTGACTGAGTCAGTTAACCACTGAGTCAAAATTGTGCCACTGTGCAATATCACATTTACTCTAATATTTTTAAATTATATTAATCTTCAAAGTAACCCGTTAAGTTGCATCCCTCATGTTTTGTGCACAAATATATTTCTCACATAATAAGCGTACCATGCAGTACAATATTATACTATTGTATTATTATATTTATTGTTACTTTAAACTATTTAATGTGTATTATTGATATGACTGAATATAACTCCAATGGCATCGTTTCTCTCAAAATGTCATCAGAAGTCTTGACGGAACTAGATCAAGGCAAACTGAATTGTTGTTTTTATTTCAATCTCAAGATGCTCTGGACAAGAAACTAACTTAATAACAGGATACAGGAGAGTCTTTTTACAACCACAAATGATCTAAAACATAAGAAATGTTGAACACTTTAGACTAACTATATATAGCATCATTTGCCCAAAATATTCATCATGTGTGCGAACATATTAAAATGTTCTTCACTATATACCTGAGTTATTTGCCTTGCGTCTGTTACTTGGACTTTAGCCAGGGGAACAATTTTAGCCATGTAAATTGTATAAACAGTTTCTTCCTTCAATATTCTTTCCATTTTACGAGGTTTTGTCAATGAAATAAGATATAGCATGAAACTTCAAAACGGGCTCAATCAAAACACTAGGTTCGCTGATGCGTGAAAACCTGCGGTCAATGTTTACGGATAAAATTCACTGACTTTCTTTCACTCTGTGGATCTGTTTCCTTGTTGGGAAATGGATGGGTGGGTATTCCTTCAGGCTGTTCATAATTCGTGCAATAATCTAAGTTAGAACTGCCAGAACTGTAATTTTAATACGCCATGATGAAATCATGTTCATCTTATGACGTCACATGGCATGAACATTGCCGATCAAAAGTTCGCACGGAAAGTACCAAGAATGGCCACTTTGGAAGGCTATAAAATCGGTTTGAATTGACCAATTTCAATTCTGTTTGTGGTAAACAGGTCAGGAAGGAAAGCACTTTTAATAAAGCTAAAAAAACGAGGGTCGAAAAATTCGCTGCAGTAGCACTTTAACTGAAAAATTTATGAAGTACAGTAATTTTAGAAGTCTATGTGAACGAGATATGAGGCTAAGTGGCACGGTGTTGATCAATGCCCTGCTTAATCCACTGCAATTTACAGGCTTGCAGATGTGCAAGACAAAGAAATGAAATTCGGCGAGAAACGCAAGCGCGAGAAGGAATATTTAGCTGATAGGTTGCCCCCATACCCTTTTGTCTTTAAGTTTCTGTAGGGTACAATATGTTACAGATTTAAGAGTAGTATACTGTAAAAGTCTTTCTGAGCAAAATGTAAGAGAAAGAGCTACTATATATTAATTTTGCTCCACAAAGTAGTAAATATCCTGTATATGACAATATATACGCTTTAATATAATAATATGCAGTTACAAATACAGTATCGCGCACCATAATAATACGGTTTTTAATGTAATAAAAACCGCATTGTTCAAGGACAATGCCGCATTGTTCAAGGACTCGGAAATCGTTTCGGAGTAACAAAGCTTGAATATATATTTCTCTAATCTTATACTGATTACTGGCTACTAAAAAAACGTTTAATTTGCAATTTGTCATCAGGTCTACTATTACACAACAATAAATCCAGACAAGTTTCAAACATTGCAGCTTCAACCAGATTGCCCCCAAAATCATCTTGCCCACGCAGCATTTGAGTTCCCTGTATGTACGTTATAACGCGTACATATATGTGTACGAGATCGCCGGTTCGATGCCTGCTTGGGGGTTCGGAGGTGTTTTGTTTTTAAAATAAGAATGCCTGAGAAAAAAACTGCTATACGTATATATCAGCGAAGTACACTAGAATACTTTGCAAAGTGGCTTTGTTGGATCATATTTTCTCTTCTTGTTTATCTTAGGATAGTTGTGTTATAGAATCGAAACACTGCGCAGGGCATGAATAGGGTTTTAGTCGCGGCAAAGATATTCCGTGCACATAAAATGGCTAAAACTCGTCCGTCCAATTAAGATATGAAGCCACGAAGTTTGAGTTCAAACCTCTCTCGAGTAAACGTATACACAATTGACTAGCTTCGTCATTGTATAAGGCTTCGACATTGGAATTTTCTCTTTATGTTTCTCTGAGGAATCTTCTGTAACAAAATTACTGTATAGATATATGCAATCACTGCAATGCAAAAACTAGCTACAATTTAAATAAAACATTATTTATGCATATGTACATGCTACTCACCACTGGATATAAAGCCAAATCGAAGCCAAGACATACAGAACGTTAGATCTCTTCATGTTGAAAATCAAACGATGACTAACTATAATTTTACAATTCATGTTCATATAATTACGAAAGGTCCCTGCTACCGGACGTCGTAATGATCGCATGCAGTAAGCCTTCCTTCAGCAGGTCAATAAAGGTGAATTTAATGAACGTGATCCTTGATGTCAACAAAATATGAAATTAAATTTTGTTGACATTTATCATGAGTCGGATTCATTAAACTCACTTTACTCAGAGGTCACAAATATTTACTGACCTGCTGAAGGAAGGCTTATTGCATGCGTTCATTACGACGTCCGGTGGCGCTGGGCCCTTCCTATGAATTTGAAATGTAAAATTATATTCAGTCATCGTTTGATTGTATAGTCGATCAAAATTCTTGCTGTGTTTTTACAAATAGTTGAATTGAAAGTATGTCTACGTAGTAATGAACGTGTGCAGATTTTAAAATAAATGTTCGCACTATATTTTGCTGTATTACTAAAATAAAATAACCATGTCACTCATTATCTATGATAGAAGTTTCAGATTTTCATAATGGATATAATAAATGTCACATTACAGTCTAATCTATTTATATAAATATTTAACTGTTGAAGATAACCAGCCGTTGCCACTTATAAAGTCAATTATTTTAACAAGACGCCTGCTCAGGCGTTCACACTGGCCTGAAAATGACGACATACGCGCTATGGTGTAATGGACAAGGGAGTGCGGTAGATACCATAGATTTATGGTTTTTAATATTGCATTAATTGAAATCTCGCCCAGTAAATTTGTAGTTTCATAATGAGGTAAATAATTGTTTATTTAACTGGTTGAGATTTCCGTTTGGATGTACTGCCTTGGATGAAGCAAAGGTGAAAATGCCAATAAGAATTATAAGAAACAAAATTGGTGTGGATAAACTACAATTTCTATTAGTAACTGTTGGGTTAAAACGTTATTAAAAAATAGTATTACATAAATATTATATAAATATTATTACATTATTTGGTTAAAATTGTTATAGTTATTGCCATATTGGTGTAATAATTGGTTGTTTCCAACTATAATTATATATTAAAATTCTCACAGCTTGAGGTTTTCACTGAGGGTTCATGTTATTAAAGGTTTTCTGACAAATTGGGGAAAAATATGATAAATAGCCAAAAATTAATGCCTTGTGTGCCGACCATGTTGAATATTAATGTCGATAGGCAATTGACAAAGAAAATCAATATTTTGACAACAAAAAGCAGACACTGTTTCAGACTTAGGTTTGCACTTGGCATTCAAAGTTAAGTTGTTACTCAAAGTTAAGTTGCCATTCAAAGGTGACTTGGCATTCAAAGGTGACTTGGCATTCAATCATGACTTGGCATTCAATGTTAAGTTGGCATAAAAAAATAAGGCCTTGTCCAACCAGGCCTCGCCAAAAGACAACAAGGAATCCTCTAAAGAAAAACAGAAAATGAAAATATAGGTTGAGTGTTTCCTACAGTCCTGCGTTTTCTGTCAATGCTGCAGCTGATCAGCTAGTAGGTTGAAAATTTCAACCCCGTTGAACTTGGCCCCGGGTTGAAAATTTTGTTGTTAATCGCTTCAACCCAGGGCAGAAATTATTCATGACCAAAAATGAAAGCGCTTTTTTTACGTCTGGGAATCAATGCTCCAGCCCCACTTTAGTGAGTTCAATATTTGAACTCTGTTTGTGATTGGTCAATATTTATGTGAGACTTTTCACTGGTTAACCGATGAGCGTCGGTTAACCAATGAAAAGACTCGCATAAATTTAGACCAATCACAAACAGAGTTCAAATATTGAACTCCCAAAGTGAGGCTGGATACTCGTGTGACCAGAGACTCCTCGTCGTGTCCTCACTTCTATCACAAGAAGCTCTGGCACCCAGGGTAGCGTTTTGACTGCCCAAGCTAAAATAAACAGAGTTTGCACAGCTTTAGGGTTGAAATCGTCCATGTAATGATATCGTCCATGTAATCGCAAAAAAATTCAGCCCGGTTAAAAACAGGCTGATCATGAGTTCAACCCCAGGGTTTAAAATGCTCCATGTAATTGGCCCATAATTAAGTTCAAATCACACTCGGATTGCAGAGCATCAGAGTGTCGGAAACTCCATCTCAAAATGATGTAAGCTAATTTCACTTTTGATAGTTGAAATATATAGGCATAATATTCATCTAAATGAATTTTATACTACCGGTTCCTCCATAGTATTTATACTGCCACGTTTGACAAGCATGTTTAATATTTATACCTCATGCATAAAATGTGCAATGTACATAGTGAAAGTCTACATATATCTAGATACAGCAACTCTACTTAGATATTACAAACAAATATTAATAACTTTAAAAGAAAATCAAACTTTCAAAATGTTGCTTTGTGTTTTAATAAATACGTAACAGTTTCGGACAGCCCAGTTAAAGCGAATTTCACACTAGTACAAGCCACGATAACTTATACAGTTAATACGTATATTAAATTTTATGTCATGGATGTATTGATGTGCAAAATATTAAAATCCCGAAATGCAAACATAAAATATTTATACAAATGTTAATACAGCAACAAACATCTATCTATATGGGAAGAGGCTATAACATACGGCATAAACAATATTGACAAAGTGGCATAAATGATGATACTAATAGTACATTTAACCTCAAACGACTGAAACGAGTTGAAAATGATGCTCAAAAGTGACTTATTACGCTCAAGTTACAACATAGAAATAGAATTAACATAACAGTAAGTAAAGGTTTGTAAAACGTACCTGTTCGAGGTAGGACGACCTGTAGATCCATATTTTTCAGCAATAAAAACTTAAATACAAATCGTGAACCGCAAAATGCGAAGGTGTGAAAGAATTTTCAGCGTGGGTGGAATGCGCAAAATTATCCTAAGTTATCCTGAAGAGATGTTTTCATAATGTCCAATGAAATACAAGCATTACTCACAAATGTCCATAACTGAACTGTCCATATATTAACTGCGCATGGTCTCTTAAGTCCCTGAAACGATCCAGATATCGCATTTACAGAGGCGTTTCGAAAAGAAAACACGATGTTAACTTCCACGAAAGTGTAGAGTAGGATAAATATAAAATCCACAGAAAAACACTGTAAAATTCGTTCACAAATGAAGAAATTGTTTGAGAATGAAATAGTAAAATATCCAAATGGTCATCCCGCCACGGATCACTGATTAAGCATTGGGGAAAAGGAAGGTCCAATGTTTCCAAATGAAACACGGAAATGGATCCGCAGCAGAAAGCCACAAGGATGGGAAACAGAAGGGTGGGAGGGTGGGCGTTTTTACAACACACAAGAGTAAACAACACCCTCACGCAGCCCCCTCCATCTCCCCCCCCCTTCTCCGGTCCTAATTTCTTTATCTTGCACTTTCTCTGTCTTGGCGATCAGCACAGAAAGAGCAGTTACAACCTGTAAACTAGGGTTTTATGCATTGTACATCATTATTTATTGATAAAACAACGTTAATTACTCAAATTCATTAGTTAATCAGCTTCCGCGGCGTGTTTGGCCAATTTGAATAGTAAAATATATCCAAATGGCCATCCCGCCACGGATCACTGATTAAGCATTGGCAAAGGTCCATTGTTTCCAAATGAAGCACGGAAATGAATTCCTCCGCAGTTCAGTTACTACTCGCTCCCAACACTACATCTCCCCCCATATACCCAAACCCCCATTCTCACATACCCAAACCCCCATTCTCATATACCAAACCCCCATTCTCATATACCGAAACTCCCATTCTCATATACCCAAGCCGCCATTCTCATATACCACACCCCCATTCTCAAATACCCTACAACCCCGCCAATCCGCATGTGCCACACACACAAACCAAGCTATAATCTATTAAGCAAACAAACCGGCAATGGACAGTATGAAAAAAAATGCAAGTCAAAAGCGATAGGTGGACTAGCATGGTCAAGCGATAATGAACGCAGAGAATAACCCGGAACTAATGCCACAGGTCTGGTCCACGGGAGAATCTTCCACCCAATGACTTGCTTCTTAAGACGCTCAGAAGCTGTTAACGGAACAAAGTTTAGCGAGTGGCGAGAGAAAAGATAACAGAGAAGTAAATCCCCAAAGCACCCCCCGGAAGGACCAGAAAAGGGCAACAGTCCCGGCACAACTGCTAGAGTCGAACACAAAGACCTTTAGATAGCCCTGGGAAAGTTGACGCGCACCAGCCAAAAAAAGAAAAAAGAACCCAAGAAATGCAAACGAAAACCAGCTAACGAGCGCAAACACAAGATCAGTACTTTCATACACACTCGAAAAACATATATTGCCCAAGAATTGGGTGATTTGCGTATGGCAAGGAAGGTATACTGTTCCGAATCTCCAAAACATTGGCCCTTGTCTGTCCAATCCAAATGCAGTAAGCGCGTGCGCTCGATCTCAAGCAATCATGTATTGCGAGATGCACCCCTGGCATTGGCAATGTTCGTGCTCAATCCCAAGCAATCATGGATTGGGTCTATTGGGAGATGCATTTCTCTGCTTGCCCAAACATATGAGCAACTGACCACTAAACAAATTCCGTAACTGCGAAACGCCGCTCTCGCGCATGCACTAAACTCATTGACAAATGATTTCCAAATTCCAATTCAATGGCTGCCATGGTTGGTCGCAAGCAATCATGCATTGTAAAATGCAAGCCTCTCATTCGCGAAACCCTGAGGCTGTTTTTTCAATCCTAAGTCAGTAGCGACTCTTACTCGGTCACAAGCAATCATACAATTGCGAGATGCCCTTCGCCCATACGCCGAACTCATTGGCCCGTTTGCCTTAAGTCCAAATTCGGTAGCTACTCGTGCTCGGTCTCCAGCACTCATGCAATTGCGAGATGCACTGCTCTTACAAACCAAACACATTGACCACTAAACCTTAAGTCCAAATGCAGTAGCTAATCGTGCTCGGTCACTCAAGCAATCATGTATTGTGAGATGTAATCATGGCCTACGCGAAACACATGAGCCTTTCCTTTGAATCCCAAGTCAATAACTACTCAAGCTCGGTCACAAGCAAGCATACAAGTGCAAGATGCACTTCTCTTATACGCCAAACACATTGGCCACTGTGCCTTAAATCCAACTATTCAGTAGCTAGTCGTGCTCGGTCGCAAGCAATCATGCATTGCGAGATGCACCTCTCTCATTCGCCAACCACATTAGCAAAGTGGTTTTAAAATCCAAATTCAGTAGCTACTCGTGCACGGTCGCCAGCAATCATGTAATTGCGAGATGCGCGTCTCTCATACGCAAAAACACATTGGCAACTTTGTTTAAAATCCAAATTCAGTGGCCACTCATGCTCGGTCTCAAGCGATCTGGCATTGCGAGATGCACTTTTCTCATACACCAAACACATGGGAAACCTTGTTTAAAATCCAAATTCAGTAGCTACTCGTGCTCGGTTTCAAGCCATCTGGCATTTGCGAGATGCACTTCTCTCATACACCAAACACATTGGCAACTTTGCGTAAATCCAAATTCAGTAGCTACCTGTGCTCGGTCTCAAACAATCTAGCATTGCGAGATGCACTTCTCTCATAACGCCAAACACATTGGCAACTTTGTATAAAATCCAAATTCAGTAGCTACGCGTGCTCGGTCTCAAGCAATCACGCATTGCGAGATGCACTTCTCTCAGACACCAAACTCATTGCCAATTAACATCCAAATTCAGTAACTACCCGTGCTCGGTCTCAAGCAAGCTAGCAAGGCGAGATGCACGTCTCTCATACGCCAAAC